TTCGATCTTGTCTCTCGCGGCTAAAACTCCAACATTGGGAATAATCCTTACAACCAGTTAAAATGGCCCAACAGGCTAAAACTCCAACATGGGAATAATCTTTACAACCAGTTAAAATGGCCCAACCTCCCTGTAGGTCCACTTCCCAAACCAAAGCAATGGAAAAAGCTATTAATAAATCATCGAAACAACATCTATCAGCTACACCAGCTCACTCCGATTCTCCATCTCCATCACCTAAGACCTCAAAGACACACAAATCAAAGTCCTCGATACTGAAGTCCTTGACTTCAAAAACAACTTCTAAACTCCAGAGACCTACTGAAGCTGCTCCACCTCCGGAACCTGCTCCTCCTAAACAGTCTAAATCTGCAGCCATCCCACCACAAACACAAAAACTCTCTGAATCAGTTTTGGTCTGATCTCCCTCAGATTATGACAGACAGCCGTCCCATCAACCCTGTTCTCAGTCTCCAGAACGGGATGATGAAGTCCTTTCCTCCCAGTCCACAACCTTCCATTTCTTCCAGCAATCCTTTGGTTATTCCATCGCCCAAGATTCCCATCCCGAATGGCTTGACACCGTTCCATATTCAATTCCCTCGGATCGCTCATCGATCCCTAACCAAATCCACGCTCAGCACATGCATTGGGTTGCCATATACCCCAACCAGTGCTCTGCTTGACAACCTGCATCGACTAGTCGACCCGGTGTTTTACCCGGTTCGATAATGCCATCTAGTAGTCCAGTGGTCCCCAAACTTGGGCCTCCAGATGTTCTTGGATTTGAACTCCCACAAATCCTGGCCAGCAGAGGTGGTCGTGAGGGCTTCTGGGAGTTGTATTCCAAGAACATCTGGAGGCCCAAGGTTGGAGACCACTGTAGTAGTCGGCCTACCTCTCGACAACCATCGGCATCAAAGTGGCCACATCACTGAGAGGTACCTATACTTCAACCTGCTCCCCACTTGGTATTGAAAAAACCTTGAACTGTCAAGCTGATTTCATCCACATGTGAGGCTTTTGCAGCCCCAGCCTCCCAATACTTTCCTACTACAATAGATGATGGAAACCACTCTTCACTCTCGGCATTGCCAACGTCTGTTTATTCTACTGCTATGCCATTGTATCAGCAACCTCTGTTTCGACATCACAGAGACACAGGCTCTGATATCGATGATCCTCGATATCCATCCTGGTCCATGGACACACACTCCATTCCGTTACCTCACCACAGTTCCCATCCTCTGGTAAATCCAAGTCATTGATCCCGGCACTGTTACGACACCAAGCTCAACACCGAGATCCATCTCCACCAATCAAGGTCTGTCGAAGCTCAACCACCATCTTTCGATGTTGACAATCCTCAACATTGACAGATGTCCGTGGACATGCCGCCTCCATCTTTTACGACTCTTAACCGGCAATACTACGAAACTCAGCTTCTTGACACAGAAGTCGATCAACAGTCCATTGACTTCAGACGTGACCTCGATGGCCCTGACCATGGATCTTGGCCGCAGACTCCATCAGTATTATTTACCTCCACAGAGTCAAACATTATCGATACCAACATGCCGTCACCAGCAGAGGATTCCCAGACCTATGCCCAACTTGTGATTTGCATGGCTAAATCCCTTGATCTGCAAATACATCAACCATTGACAGAATCAGCCGATCATCAGTGTGATCCGATCTCTAAAAATACAACCACTCTGGTACACATATCGATGTTGCCATCTCTCCTTAGTATTGCGCAGAGATCCTGGACAAAACCAGTTTCCTCCCATACCATGTTGAAGCGAATTGATAGCCTCTATAGAATCCATGACCCAGGAGCCATTTTCCTTCAGAAACAACCAGCTCCAAATTCTATATTTGTCAAAGCATCTCAATCGAGATCTCGACACCAACAATCTCTCATATCACCAAATAAGGACAGCCAACGAATAGACTCCATGGTAGCTTACCAATGCTTCCTCTGAGACAACATGTCCGCCTTTGTTGAATCCTTCCAGAGGATAAAAAGATACTAGCAAAAGCCTTCCAACAAGAAGTTATCTCCGTTGCTAAACAACAGATGCTTTCCGCCCACCACACTGTAGACGCTACAGCCACGTCCATGGCCACTTCAGTAGCCCTACGCCATTTTTCCTGGCTCAGAACAGCCGGCTTTGCCGAAAATGATTGGGCACGTATTGAAGATCTCCCCTTCGATGGAGTAGGTCTTTTCCATGCTGAAACTGATGATATACTAGAGAACGTACAAAAAAAAAAACAAACGTTCAGCAGCCAGACGTTGGGGAGTTTACCCTTCCTACCAGCGACGTCCTCAGCAAAATCAATGGAAAACAACCCTATAACTCGTTCCAGAGGTTCCAACGAGACCCTCCAAGACAAACCTGTTACAATCCATACTCAAAAACCAAAGAGCTAAACCCTGGCAACAGCCTGCCACTAGGTGGAATGACCGGAAACCCGAACACCATGTTTGACGTTCCTCTGACTGAGATCACCAACCCTGCCCTCTGAAAACACTTACCTGCATGGGAATCCATCACCACAGATTCCTGGGTATTTTCCATCATTAAAAATGGTGACCACATCCACTTCTTTGATCTTCCTTCGACAACACATGTCGTTACTCCTCCGTCACAACCCCTGGAAGAAGAAATAACAAATTTACTTCTCAAAGATGCCATACAACCGGTCTATCAAAACAACACCGGGTTTTTCTCTTGCTATTTCACCGTCCCCAAGAAAGACAGGGGTCTTCACCCTATTCTAGATTTAAGATTATTAAACAACTACATCATCACCACGTAATTCCACATGGTTACTCTAGAATCAGTACTTCACTTACTATGAAAAAAGGACTGGTTCACCGTCATAGACCTAAGAGATGCTTACTTTCATATTTTAATACATCCCGCACAAAGAAAATTCCTTCATTTCCAACTTGTCTCCTTGTAACACACTCCTGTCGCAAAGCTCGATGAGACACCTGTTTCACCGTGGCCCTTCTTCGCGATCTCAGTCTAACTGTGAACAAACAGAAATCAAAATTAAAACCTACAAGGACTATACATTACATAAGCGCGCTCATAGACTCCACACAAGCTTGCAATGTCCTCCCTGCAGGAAAGAGACAAAACCTCTTGACCTTACTTCTCAGCTTCACTCCACATGCTTTGATACCTGCCATAATGGTCCAACGAGTTCTAGGCACCATGGCCTCTATGACATCAGTTGTACAGTATGTGCATCTCAAAATGAGATCTCCTCAATCCTTGTTTCTGGCCCTATTCGATCCATTAACAGACTCTCCCCACACTCTCCTAAGAGTCACTCCAGAACTTGCCTCTCAACTTCAATGGTGGCATTCCTGTACCAATCTTTCTGTTGGGTGACCGTTCCAACAACCTCGCCCGCAAATACAAGTCACTACCGATGGCAGTTGCACCAGCTGGTGGGCTCTTTGCAAATCCCTTATAATTCATGCCAAATGGTCTCACAGAGAAAAACTGCTCCACATAAACGAGTTAGACCGTCTAGCTGTCATAAAAGCCTGCAAGGCTTTCAGAAACTCCTTGTAGTAAAAATGATACAGATTGCCACCGACAACACCACGGTGATGTACTTCATCCTCAAACAAGGTGACAACCACTTCCCAAGGTCTCTATCTAGCGGTCAACCTCTTGGAGTGGTATCTGCAACATCACATCTGTCTCACAGCCTTACAGATTGCTTGTCAAGGCAACAACCTAGCAGACTTGCTCAGGCAGACAGATACCCAAGCTCACGATTGGAACTAGATCAATCAGTATTCCGCCAACTATGCCAGAAATGGGGCACACCGACTTTCGATCTCTTTGCCTCCCGAACGAGTCGGAAATGCCAACAGTATTGCTCCTGAGGAGGAATAGGCAAACAATCCCAGGGAGACGCATTTGTCGGCCGTTGGATATAGGCAAACAATCCCAGGGAGATGCATTTGTCGGCCGTTGGCCCAAAACTCTTACCTACCTTTTCCCACTGTTCCCTCTCTACCACAAAGTTGCTGTCAGTCTACAACAAGACAAAACCAATGCCATCGTTATAGCCCCTTGGTGGCTGAGACAGGCTTGGTTCCCAGTTGTCCGTATTATCTATCAGACATCCACCATCTCCCCTGTCTGCCACACCTTCTCACACAGAACAACTCCCAAGTCTTACACCCAGACTTACCTGTTCTTCTATAGCCTTTCTCCGCAATGTACCTCTTCCGGACCTCTGCGTCTCTGCCACTTGAGCACAACCACCCACGTTTATCTGTCATTATAGACTCAACCACCGGCAGAAGTCTGATGCGGCATTTGCACGTGCTGTTCTAGCCTCTACCTTAGCGTGACACCTTTCCTCCGAGTAAGACAGCTTATTAGTCACCCAGGGGGTGATTCACGGAGGCCATGAAGAAGAACAACAGGTTACCCACCTGTAATTGTAATTCTTTGAGTGGACCTCTGTGATTTACACATCCCTCCCTTCCTGTCCTCTGTCACGCCATTCTTTGCTTACTATTAAGCAGTGGTTGACACAACTGAAAAGGGACACTTGGTGCCAAGGTACTTATATGGGTGGGGAGGGGCATATTCTCATGTGTTCATTGCTACCGCTGAAGCTCTAGAATCTTCCGATGCGGCTCTGCGCAGCCACAAATCACCCAGGATGTGAATCACCTGTCGTTTTGGTGAAGGATTCTAAGAGGCCTTCGTTTTTCAGGATATTGAAACAAAATTTATAATCATAAAAATCTTAGACTTTTAGAACTGCAGAGCTGGAAGGGACCTTATCAAGGAGGAGTCCAGCCTCTGTTCAAAAGGCACAGTGGGAAAATGAACTCTCAACCAAATCATTGAGCTACCCAGCAGTTCAGATATGAAGTATGCATGTTTATTTTGCTTTTTTTCCCATTGATATTCTGTTCTAAGTCGCTTTTTGTTTGTGCGGGTTTGTTTCAGAACAGAAGAATCACCTCCCACTCCGCAGCCTCCCAAAGCACAGTCACAAGCCAATGGAACAGGTATGTATGGTTCCTTATTAATGCTTTGTGTGACTTTAGTCAGTCACTTCACCATGGATCTGCGGAAGTAGGCCTTTTAAAAAGATGTGGGGGAGTCCCTTCTATTATTGAATGCAATTGAGCAGCACACATATTTAGTGAAGTATTTTATTATTTTTGTTAAAATACTCTGTCACATAGGAACTAGACTACTTGCCATACTAATATGCAGAGTTAATACAAATCTATAGTTTTTTAAAAGTTAAAAAGGAATATTTATATTCAAGTTTAATTCCACTGAATTTGTACCTTTTTTTGAAAATACTTTTTCCCCTCCTTAAAATAACTAATACTGCTTATAAATAATAATTACGCTAGCCCTAGAGTGAATTTCTAAATGTAAACAATGACCTAAATCAGATTGCTACGTCTGGCTACAGTAGACCTGTCGAGTCAGTGAAACTCCAATAACTTACAATTTTTTCTCTGATTCAATATGTCTACTCTAGTTGGGGCTAACAATGAATTATGCTAGTGTATCTATCAGATACCAATGCGTTAAAGCAAAGAAAATGAATAGCCACTGTTAATACTCTGCCCAATAGACACTGGCATTTCATTTTCACCTTGTGAAAATAAACTGTCAGAATTGACCTAAGAATTGGCTTACTTTCCTTTAATCTGTCAGTCACAGGTGTTTTTGTTTGCTGCTTTATTTTGATGGGGTTGGGGAGGGAGGGGTCTAGGCCTAAGCAGAGCAAAACAGAAAACAGCAATTGAAGAAGCAGGACGTGTCCAGTGCACATGTTTCTGTGAGAATTAACCTCACATTCTAGTAACATAGGTTTCTAGCAGTGAAAAATCCAATCATAATTCCAAACATCTCCAGATAATAAACTGGGACATAGAAGCAGAATAACCTGCTCCGTGGGCCATATTCCAAAGGGGTACAGACATCATTCAGTTACATAAAATAACTTGTGGAATCTATTATAAGTTACTGTCTCTTTTCAGCTGACACCCAGTGCATCTTCTTCCTTGTGGTCATCTCAGAATCTTGGTCACTTTTTCAGCACTGTAGAGAGTAAGCTGCTGGCATTCTGCAGTTGTAAAAAGACGTCTAGGAGTCTGATGTGGCCATAAGGAAAAGCTGTCAGTGGGTGCTGGCTGACACAGCAAAGAAAGGCACAGCCTATTAGTTTACGAGACATGTGCAGGGCTGTTAATGATGGGTCTTCTTGAAAGTCATTAATTCACAGTGTCTCCCACATATGAGCCATAGAATGAAAATTTTTAAAATTCCTCTTGTATGATCCTTTGTACAAACACCTCCTCCTTTGCATTTGGTATTTTAATTTTGTTTTCCCAGTTTCTTGAAGTTTAGATCTTTTTGCACTTTTTTTCTTGGTTTTTTTTGTACATATTGATTACATAAGCATTAAGAAATGAAATATTTCTAGTGCTTCTGGAGCAAAGAGCTTTGTCCTGTTGTTATGCTTGCTAAGATATTTATAAGTATAAAAAAGTTACATTGGTTGTGAAGCTTATCCAAAAGTAGTAAAGCGTCACCTTATTAATTATTGGGATCTTGGTGCAGGCTAGAATATTGGTTCCTTCCTTAAAAAAAACCCCGGTAGTGTAAGTGATTCCCAAATGAGAATCTTGCACTCAGATTCAGACTTTTTGTCCTATGTACAACTCTGTCAATGAAGTACCAATCCTGATGTCATCTGAAAACTGTGTCAGTGTTAAAATAACTGTTCATGCAGTTAAATTGACTGTTTAGAAGGAACCCGAAAATGTGACATGTATTTTGTCATTAGATAAACGCAGCCACATGGTGTGTTCAAGAGTTCAGAAGTGGGTTTATGACAAATTTGGGGAATACATTGAAGACTTCAGATTTCAGCCTGAAGAGAACACAGTTGAAACAGAAGAGCCACTTAGTGCACGAAGGTAAATAATGTTGGATGCTTCATTTTTAAAAAAGTTAAATAAATAAAAATAAATACTGAAGAGCAATGTGATCAGTACAGCCAAGCAACAGTCTCTAAAGTCTTGGTAAAAGCATCTCTAAAACTTCTTAATTATTCCATCTTTGACTGGAGCAGCTGAGAAATCTAAGGAATGAGAGAAAACAACGAAGGTTTATACAGGTGCACATAATTGTACTACATTGCAAATGATTCTCAGTGAATCCCATAGGATTACAAGTTTATTTAATAATTCATTTGGTATTTGTGCAGAAATGTCAATGTGTATTACATATGGAATGTCCTTCTATGGGGAAAAGGTCATCTTTATCGCTATTTGTAAACTACAGTGGTGCCTCGCTTGACGAGGATAATCCGTTCTAGCAAAATCGCTGTAGAACAAAATCGTCGTCAAGCTAAAGTAAAAATCCCATTGAAATGCATTGAAAACCGTTTCAATGCGTTCCAATGGGCGAAATACCTCAGCGTCCAGCGATCCTCCATAGGGCGGTCATTTTCCGGTGCCTGTAAAGCGAGGAATCCATCCTAAAACACAGCGGGGAGCCATTTTACACAGCGGGGAGCAATTTTGAAAGCCCAACTATTAGCTGTTTTGATCGCCGTTAAGCGGAAAATCGGTTCCCGAAGCAGGGAACCAATCATCATGAAGCGATTTTTCCCTATTAAAACATCATTTTGCCATCGCAAAAAGTTCATCCTTAAGCGATTTCCTCATCTAACGAGGTAATCGTCAAGTGGGGCACCACTGTAGTTGTAAAGTTTTTGATATTTCAGACCATTTCTACTTGATGCTAACCTATATTTTATATGTTTTATAGTTGTATCTGCTGCTGATCTTCTCACATTATTTTCATTTCATAGCCAACCAATACCTCGTATCATTGCTACATTTCTTACAATTTTGTGAACTGTGTTGTGAAGCTTTTTTTAAACCTTTATTGAACTGAAATATTTTGCATAAATAAGTACTATTTTATAATAAGCCAGTGCCAGTAGTAAACAAAATGTGTCAATCTTTCAAAGAAACAATATTAAATTTGTAATTATTTATTTTCCAGGCTTACAGAAAATATGAGGAGATTAAGTAAGTATCTAATATGACCTGTTTCTGTAGTACTAGTGACACTTATAGAGCTTGTAATACACTTAATAGAGCTTGTGTAGCCTGTATAATTAAAAATTGTAAACCGCCCGGAGAGTGCTTGTAGCGCTATGGGGCGGTATATAAGTCCAATAAATAAATAAATAAAATAAATAAATGAAGAGGATGAGTGACATTACGTGAATGTTATAGAAATGTATTTGATCCAATTCTGTTATCTCTTAGTCATGAATACACAGAATGAAGAACGAATGTAGCTTGCAAAGAAAATAATAGCATCTGGTATTACAGAAATCAAGCATACAGATCAAACACAGTGCTGAAAAGCATTCAGAATTAACTTTCCATACCAACTATATATAATCATTTGAAAACTGGGATGATAGTTGTTGCCTATTCTGAATATGGACATTATGATCTAATAAGCTGTGTTGATGGAACAATGTGTTGATTGTTTAAATATAAAACTGGTTCGACAAGAAAAGATACAAAGATACAAATGTGAAAGGCATACAAGTGAGGGGAGGAGAAAAGCAAATACAGTGGTGCCCCGCATAGCGACGATAATCCGTTCTGGAAAAATCATCGCTATCCAGATTCATCGCTATGCGAAAAGGAAAAAGCCCATAGCATTCCTATGGGCTTAAAACTCACCTTTAAGTGAAAATCCTCCATACGGCTGCCATTTTCGCTGCCCGGTATGCGAGGAATCGGCGCGAAAACACAGCGGGTGGCCATTTTTTTCCCTGCGGCCCATTTTGGAACTGCCGATCAGCTGTTTTTAAAATATCGCTATGCGAAAATTGGTAAGCGAAACAGCTTACCGATCATCGCAAAGCGATATTTTACCATTAGAAACGTTGTTATGCAATCACAAAAAATCCATCGCTATGCAGATTCGTCGTTAAACGAGGCGCTCGTTAAGCGCGGCACCACTGTAACAAGGTGGGGGGATCATTTTGGACTGAAATGATGATTTATTTGCTCAAAATAGTGGCGTGTAAACTGAACCATACCTGTAGGTGCCAATTTATTTTTAAAGCAAATAAATAACTTCAGAAAAGGAATGGGTTAGCAGAGCTCCTCCTTTCTTCAGTTCTGCTGTACCATCCAAAGTGGGGAGTGGCGTACTTTCCTGGTGGTGAGGCAGCACCTTCCAGAGGCCGTTTTGGGATTGTGCCTCTCACTGGGTGTGAGTGAGACCTGTTGTGATTCATCATACAGTGCTCTGCAGCTGAAATGCAGGAACAAAGGCTGCAATGTTTGCTCCTTTTGCTTTCGCCTTTTCTGTGCAATATGCAAACCTGGTCTATTCAGCTTCTGGAGTTGCCAACCCAAAAATGTTTGCTTCAATTCAAATAACCAGATGATGTGCCCAACACATGGTGGAGTCAAGGAGGAAAATGTGAAAAAGGTCACTGTACTATTTTTCCCTTTAAGCAAAAGTGTCTAAATGAATATTAGGGTCCTGGGAAAATTGAAACTGTGGTTTAATTGCAAATTTAAGTTATAGTAAGTCTTGCTGGTGCCATAAATATCACTAGTAGTTCCATAAAATAAAGTTCTCTGTAATACAACAGCTAATTATAAGTTGAGAAAATACACTTTTATTGAAGTGACCTTTGAAATTTGATTGTTTCTGAAAAATGGACGCTGGTCAGTAGATAATAACAGAAGTCCTCTGCATGAGTAATAGAAAAGAATCAATAGGCCATCAGAACCTCATACATATTCAGAGTGATTGTACTAGGCTCATTTCATTATTATATTCAGTATAGCTCTTTTAAAGGCATAATGCTCCTTGTGGGGAGGACTAGATCTGAGCCAGTCATGCTATTCTTATGTTTGTTTATTTTTTTACTGTCAATCAGCTAAAAGAGTTGAGGTTGCTTTACATTAATCTGAAATTGTTCAGTCCCCCACACTGAGGCATCACATGCCAAAAGAATTACAGGAATGCAAGCCTCGCTCTTGTTTGTTGCTTTCCTTTCAGTACAAGCATGGGTGTGGGGCGAACTCTGTAGTGTAGAACATGTGGTCCAGCCCCACGCATTAGCCTCTTGCAAACCTTACTCTGCTCTGGTCTTGCTATCCTACACTGAGGCTATATATCCATCTGAAGGTATGGCTTGATTTGCATATAGCTGAGCAGTTTAAGGTTCTCTCTGCGGAGCCAAAGGTGGTGAGTTCAGTTTCCCATTGTGCCTCTTTGAGAGGGATTGGACTCGATGATCCATACTTCCAGCTCTGCAGGTCAAAGCTTATTGTATTACATACTGGTTCAGAATGCCACAGATAGAACTCTTTATCTCACCATTGAGGTGGTATTTTCACTGGAGGCTATTTGAACATTTGGTGGCTTGCCAATGACTGATGAATCAAGAGAGGTATATGTGTGGCATAGTTCTTAGTTTCTTGAATTCCTAGAAGTGATATAGAGCCATGTAAAAATAAGGAACATAGAAGAGTGCTATAGCACCGTATGTATCTATGGAAATATTATTATTTTGATATGTCACTTGTGCATATAAGATAAAAGGAAAGAGGTATTGATAAATTTAGACATTGAGTAATGTGGGATGTGTGGGTGTTTCCATTTTAATAGTTATACTATTACATTCATTGTAGCACTGCTAAATACTTAGAAATGTTATATTTCGCCCCCCCCTTTCTTCTTATAGAGAGAGGTGCCAAACCTGTTACAAATTTTGTGAAGAATCTTTCTGCCTTATCAGACTGGTATTCTGTCTACACTTCTGCTATTGCCTTTATTGTAAGTTGCCCTTCCTCAGTCATGTGAAATAACAAGCATTCGTGGGGACTTGGCTGATAGATCTGCTAAATACGAATTCTGGAACAAAACTTGCATAAATTCCCAGGCTTAGGAACAAGGACACAAATGAGTGCTGCCGGGTCAGATGGGTGACGCAAAGCATGCCTGTTGCTTCGTTTGTTGTCCAGGGTTGGAACTGTTTCAGTGTTTTAATACGTCTACCAGCTTAAAAACATGCTGCTTAATATTTGTTCATGGTTTTCATTTATATGCTATGTCTTAGTTTACCAGATTTACCTGAACAACAGTTTTTCAGTGTTATTGAAAGTAGCATGAGTAGAAGAGCTTACATTCCATGCGAAACATTTTGTTTTACTAAGAACACAGTCCTGGGTGGCTCGCTGTTGTGTAATCCTGTTTACAAATTCTTTAAATGTAAGATTAGGACATGGATCAGCATCTACTGGAGTTAACTGCTCATGGCTGCAAAACTGAATAGTGGATCTCTTTCTGAATTGCACATTTTTAGGCAGCAACAGACAGCTAGCAAGTTCAAAAGGTTCTCCACATCCACCCCCAACCCTCACCAAACCAGCCAAAAAGCTTTCCTGTCAATAAAAGTCTTCCATTTCTGGGAGAGAGTTTCAAGAAGGGTTGTTTTCCATACATGCCAGTTTTCCATTGGGGGACAGTTCTTTTTTTTCTGCAGGAGAGCATTCAGATTTGCAGTCACCACAAGCAGTTTGAAGTCATGTAATTGAAGAAAAGCTGATTCACATTATTCTGCTGCAAAATTCTTTAGCTAGGTAAATGAGCATAGATTTCTATACACTCTTCAAAAAATAGTTTATTTATTTATTTATTTAATTAATTAATTTATATGCCGCTCACTCTACCCAAAGGTCTCTGGGAGGCTTACAACAATTAAAATTCAATACAATAAAATATAAAATGATTAAAATACAATTAAAATA